GTCCCTTTCATTTTTTTTTTTTAAAGTACAATAAGGGTTATTCTGGGTGGGGTAAAATGAGCTGAATAGAGGTTGAAGGTTAGGTTAGTTGGAACATGGAGTTTGTTTTCTTTGCAGCCATTGTTCGGATTTGGGGGGATGTTTCTTTGAGGGAGTTGAAATCTAGGAGGGGGACTCTAAAATCTTATTGTTTAAGGGAGATAGTCAAAGGAAAAGGAAGGAAAATGTAATTTTGAACAATTTTTGGAGTGATTTATCGAGTTACCACGATCAATAACTGGATCCAATGCAGTTTAGGGTACCTACCCCCCATAGGTATGAAAAAGTAAGACAAAGACTTGTTTTGTCAATAGAAGCAAAAAAATCATCCCAATGGGATTAATTTGTACTATTTCACCTGCACAGTTGAGCAAAAAAACTCCCACTGGTTTCTTACTTTACCCTTGAATTAAATGTGGTTACTTGAACCATAATCGTATGTTGTATCCAGTTTTTAGTACTACTGGTGTTTTAGTGGTACATTGTAGTCTTTGTTAAGTACCATTAGGTATAGATAGTTTTTATAATCTAGTAATCCATAATTATAAGATTTATAAGGACACGAAATTGATCTTATAATTGAACCATAGCATAAATTACACTGGTTACAAAAATTGCTACAATTTCTAATAGTGATTCGCCCCCACCCAGATACACTAACAACAAGGCGGACCATGAACTAATTAACATTTGAAATACAACAAGATGGCTAAAATTAAAATTGTGAGGCCAAATTTCACGATGTTCACGTTTTGATGCTCTACGCCTCCACCTTATGAACTACTCTACCGATGTTGTTCGGTGGTCCATCCTTCACGAGGTCTGAGTCAACATCCCATTCCCAAAACCCGAATTGGCGGCATTTATAATATGGCCTCTTCGTATTGAGCTCGAACATGGAGATAGTATTAATTATGTATAGGTAGATAGTATTTGTGTGCATACAAAAACACTTTAAACATATCGGTACCCTATATTTGGCAAATGAGTTAAATCAACTATGTATTAAATAAGGAAACATACACAATTTTATTAGCTAGGGAATTGCAATGGTACCCTAACCCAACACCATGGAACCCTTTGTATTACCAAAATGTACCACCTCTAGGTAATAGCGGGATTTTCACTGCATAATATTGTACCACTATTATCGCAAATAGTACAAATTGACAAATACCACTCTATCTATTTCCACCGTTTTCAGGTATACCCTTCATATGATCAAATATTCCATAACCTATTTAGTGGTACCCTTGTTATTATCATACCATCAACTCATCTATGGTTTCCGGTCATACCAATGGCATGGTCACATGTACCGTTAATATTACAGGGGTACATTACATATGACCAAAAATACTACTTTGTCACAAATGTTCCATTTTATGTACAAATTGATGTTTATGGAATAAAGTAAGATAAGAGTTAAAGTTACCACCTAAGTAGTAGTTATTTATTGATTCATAACCCAAAACACAAAAAAACTAATAGGGGAACAACCTAAATCAACTAAAACATAGTATTACATAAGGATACATAGATAGTAACACGTTTTTATGTCTAAAACACTTTAAGCAAATTAGTAACTTCTATTTTGTACAACCACCAGTAACACAAAGTTCGTATTACATAACGATATGTCGATAGTAATATGATTTGCAACAAAAACAATTTGAAGACATTGAATATCTTGTATTAGGTACATACACATAAGTGACTAACACTTGGTATTAAATAAGGACAGTAGGGTATTTCAATGGTACCCTAAATCAACACAATGGAACCCTTTCTATTAGCAATACAAACCACTATATATACCATTATGGTACAGTAGTACAATTTTTTTGAGTCTGTTGATGATACAGTGGTGCAATTACAGTACCATTATTCATGTAGTGGTACTTTTGACCAGCTAAGTTGTACCATTACTAACGCAAAGGTGTTTTCCTACCAATTATTTGTATCACAAATGCTGTAAATAGTACAATTACACAAAGAGGTAGACATAGGGTAAGGTCTAGGGAAATTACATAATTATGTGTTTCGATTAGTTTTTGTTTATATATGTCACATTGAAGTCAAATGTGATATTAATGTTACAAAGTTAATGGTCCTATGAAATATTGGTATTACGTGTTCGTAATCTATAAACCAAAGACTTATTCCTAACAAGGGTTATGAATCTCGCCTATTTTATACACAGACTTATATCATCTTTCTAATACAAAGTGCAGGGACTATAAATTATAATGAAATACACAACACGGTGTCAATAAGTTAATAGTAACATATGGTTAAAAATCCAATTTGGTTATATTTTCAAAAAGTTAAACACAAGGTTACACATCATCCCATTTCTCATTGGTAATCTTTTCAAGTAGTGGTACCTTAAGCCTAACCAGTGGTACCCTTCTGGTTAGGTTTATGATACACTTTTGTACCACTGTTGTTTTTTGATACTTCTGGATGGACAACATCCAATACAACTTGGACAATTCCTTATTCATGTAACACCATCATTTGTTTTTTTTTTTTTTTTTTTTGGGAATGCACAATTAACAAAAGACATAATATTGAACGCTAATTAGTTTCAGTAATATTATGAGAAGATAATGGTTATAATAAGATCATTAAAATTTGAATTTATGTGAATAATTTTGGGTTTAGAAAACAATAACTTTGAATTGAAATAAAGTCATAATTTGTACCACTTCATTTCCTAATAGGCTATATTCGGGTTCTGAATTGTACTACTGAAAATCATAAACTCAGTGGTTGGTACATATTCTCCCACACTTTATTCCAGGTGGTACAAAATAAACATCAGATTTGACAAATGTTTTCTGCAATCACAACATAGGAGTCATGCAACTTAAATTAGTTGCCACATCAGAAGATGGTCATGTACCTAGAGAAGTAAAATATGCTATGGAACCATCAAGATCCCTCAATTGAATTCCCCCGGCAGAACAGATATATTCATTGGTCGACAGTGACACAAAGGTGTTTTTCGCCGCAGCTGCCTTCTTTGCATGGTTTTTTGCTCTTGTAGCTTTCTCTTTTCCATTTTTTTCGCAGACAGGTTGCGGTTTGTTAACGGTTCGGTGTGGACGGTTTTTATCCTGGTTCAAACGGTTTTGGGTTAGAAACAGTTCGATTCTTTTTCGGTTCGGTATTTTTCATTTTGGTTCGTTAATGGGTTCGGTTCTTATATGGTTTAACATTATTCGGATCGGTTCGGTTTCGGGTTTACTAAAATATGGTTTGAGTAAGATTTCGATTTCAAAAAATCAGTTTTTAATCGGTTCGGTTCTCATTTGGGTTGGTTGGTTTCAAGCTAGAATTTATCGAGTTTCTTTTTCAATTGATGAATTAATTAATCATATTCTTTATTATAATTTTTGTATTGACTTTTATTTGTTTTTGAAAGATCAAAGGATGCAATCATCTATTCTAAAATTTTTGAGGATTACAATAATAGGAGTACATCATAAGAATTTGATTAGGCCAACTTTGGTCTAATATAATTCTGAGCACAATATATATGTAGCACTTTGATGATGTTGTTTAATGAGAAGACAAAGATTATTTTTGCTTAATCCATAATTACATAAAAAAAAGTCAGTGAAAACAATAATGTACTTCGTATCTGTAGTAATTTAGTAAACATGTGTGCATAATTAGATTTCATATAAAATTCATTTTAACGTGATTTTAATCTTCCTTTATAGCAAGCGGTTTGTAAACGGTTTGATTCATAAACGGTTCGGTTCATAAATGGTTCGTTTGTACACGGTTCGATGCAAACAGTTGCGGTTTGTTAACGGTTCGGTGTAAAGGTTTTTATCGTGGTTCAAACGGTTTCGGATTGGAACAGTTTCGAGTTAGAAACGGTTCGGTTCTTTTTCAATTCGGTTTTCATTGAGTTCGGTTTAAAACTATTTCGGTTCCTTGACAGATTCGGTTCTTATACGGTTTAACATTATTCAAATCGGTTTGGTTTCTGGTTTACGAAAATGTGGTTCAGATCGATTTTCAGTTTTAAAAAATCGGTTTTTAATCGGTTCGGTTCTCATTTAGATCGGTTGATTTCGGGCAGTTAAACGGTTTCGGTTTGAAATTTAACATTGCTATATGACATACTTCCTGTTTTATTTTTAAGTGTCTCATTTTGATTTTTACAAAGTATTTTTTGAAATAGGCTTGATTAGGCTTAGCCCATTTGGTATTTCCAATTCCAATCGTAAGGATCACACAATTTTTTATTTTTTACCTTGTAATAAGGTATGATAAAGAGAAAACGTTAGGACACCATCTCAGAAGAAAATTCCTAATGCAATATGGATCACGCAATTAGATAATGGCCCTATTTAGTAATTAACGATTAGCTGATTGATAAGAGTTGATTGCATTAGCTATTTTGACTAGCTGATTGGTAAGAGCTTATTATGTAGAGTTATTTGGTAAAATTTGATTCTTAGTTGTAATTGTTTGTTAGTTGGACACATGAAATGACAATATAGGACATTAGCAATTCATTTTTACTTCACTAAGGTAAGAAGTGCGAGGACAAAAATGTAAATTAGAGTAACTTTTTAGGATGAAATTGTCATTTGACATCCATTACTCAATAAGCTAATCTAAAAAGCTCTATTTTTTAGCTTTTCACAAATTAGTTGTGCCTCAATCAACTCATTTAAAAAGCTCTTTAACCAAACAACCAAATTAAATGATTTATGCAACCAAGCCTCTAATTTGGTCAAATAAGCTTATTTTTTTGTCAAAACTCTAATTACCAAACCTGGCTAATAAGATCTGCCCAATCATTTGAGCAAATAAGGACTAATGATTTGATATGCAAAACATAATTCATGATCACCATTGGAAAGGTTAACAAGAGAATAAGAATGCAAAAAAACGCTGTTACACTGCTTCTTGACCACTTCACCTTTTTAGTTGTCCTACGGTTCATCAATGTTGGTCTTGAATAAGAAATCTTCACCTTCCAATTCATCTTGATACAAGCATATTGATGAAAGGTTTAGCCTTTCACAAGGTTGATAACTATTCAATGATCTTGTGCCCTGTGGTTTGCAGCATAGAAACTTAAAAACTTAATTCACTTGCACTAAGAAATTTAGCATAATAGCAGAGCTGAACATAATTATGCATGATCAAATTTGTAAGAATCATTTTCGAAAGGATGCAGTCTCATGGGATTCAAATTGCATATTGGAAAGAAAAGATAGCATCATTTGGCCTAATTACTGCAAGTTTAAGTGAAGCATAGTAGCATACATCAAATAATATGAATAACATGCACCGGTAAAGTGGTATACACTCTATACAGGTTTCTATGACACACAAATCAAGTCCTCTTGTCTACTATTCTCCTCATATTCTAGTTACAAGTGTTCTATAAGTTCAATATCACTTTGATTCTCCATTTCACCTCTAAGTGCTCAAATCAGAAACTCAACATCAAACATGAGTAAGTTCATTTTGGACAAAAATATATGCAAAGTTTTCATGATGGTTGTGTTGAACACTTGGCACTGTATCCATAAATCTGAGTAACATAACAGGTGATATATTCCAAGATCTTATACAAGATAACCTTAGTCTGTAAAAAATTGTTTCTTCAAGTGTTATAAATTAGAATAGACTCAAAATGCGGGTTATAGGAATATGTAACAATTTCCTTTCAGTAAATGAATGTTGGTTATGTTCTCACACTTAAAACCCTACCTAGTTCAAAAAACATAAGAAATTAACCTAACCTTCTTTAGAGTGTAGAAGAAATAATGGAATCCATCACCAAAAGTGATCCACTTCATTGACCATGTAAAATCAGGAGCTTCAAATAATGGACGCCTAAAGTGTGGCTGCAACAGAAAGTTAAGAAATAATGACGAGAAAAATCCATGCTAGAGCTTATATGATTCAGTGAACAAAAGTTTGAATGTACTACCTGCCCAAACGAAATTGATATGTAGATACCATTTGGCTTCAATACCCGGTGGATGACTTGGAGCATTGCCATGACCTTGCTAATGGTTTCAGCTTTTGGGTTCCACGGATCACCACTGTCCACGAACAATACATCCTTGAATGACAAGTATATCCAAACTTGGCAAATTAAAAGCCAATTTGCACTTACAAAAGAAATATTTAAGGCTAAGCTACTAATATTGTTCTCACCATTGTTCCTTTCTCAATAACAACATCAAAAGAATCATCTGCGAATGGCAAGTCTAGCATGTCCGCAGCCATGGCCTTTATTTCTGACATTTAAGGCAGCACAAATCATCCAAAGTTAAGATAAAGGGGGCAAGAAAGTGCAACAATCAGTACTGCTAAACCAAAATACATTCATAATCAGTCAAGACAAACAACTTGACAATCATACTTTCCACAAGTGAATAAACCTCGAATCTTCTCTAAATTCACATTGAATTTTAATGAAAGGACAACAATTAGCAACAACAACACATGGAATAAGCACAAAATGAAGTACACCTTAATAATATCCGAGCATGTCCATGGAAGGCTATATATTTGTTCACACCAAAAATCAATAGCATCATACAAGATAATCAATGACAATAGGCTATAAATTCAATCCAATTCCAAAATCCGAATCTGGGACAAACTTAAAGAATCAAGCTTTCAACAACAATGTGTTAGCAAAATGACAACAACGGCATAGAATTCACAACAGCAAGCAAGATGATTGTAACATTGAAGGAAGAAAACCCCACAAAGAAATGCACAAACCTTTGAATTCCTTCAACAACAATCTTTTCTGCACTTTCTCAACAGCAATTGGGGATAAATCAGTGCAAGTGATATTCTTAATCCCATTTTTATACATTTCATCACTTAATTGGGAATTTCCACAACCCAATTCCAAAACCTAAAAATTGAACAAATGAAACTTATCAAATTCATATCAAGCCCAGAAAATTAACATAAATAAATAAAAAAAAATACTTCAGTATTAACATTCTACAAAAAAAAAAAAAAATGAAACAGAGAAAATACAGAGGAATTAGGTTGAATATTCTCCAAAATTAGGTGACGAAAATGGGAATAATCTTTGAACCATTCATAATCTTCTTCCTTAGCAAATCTATCGTTCCTAAAAGAAAATTTTAGAAATTAAATTAGATGCAATAAATTTGAGCAAATTTTTTTAGAGTGAAATTAAAATTAGAAACAGGGGAGAGAGAACAAACCAGTAAAGTGGATCAAGATAAGTCAAAACGGAAGAGGGTACTACTGTATCTTCGAGATTCTTCTTCTCATAAACCATTGATGAGAGATTCTGGGTACCTTTGATTTCAGAGGGTTTTCTTAAACCATAGATTGAGCAAGAGCGACGACAAGGCTTACAGGTCAACAAGTCAAAGTCTTTAATATCGGAAAATTTGTCAAATCGTTGCTTTGTCAGACTAAATTTAGGTTTCCGCTTAGATTTTGGATTCCCCGTTTTCTCTATCTTTGCCCCGTTATTTTTTTTCCAATAATTTTCCTGCTCTAACAGCCTAACAAGTGATAACCAATTGACAAAAACATAATTTCAATTTACGATTTCACAAAAATCATTAAATTCAATCAATTAATAAATGAAATTTTATATCACCATAAAGTGTTTAACTCATTAGTCTAGAAAATAAGTTGATTAACTACCAAAAAATGTGAATCAGACATATTTTTTACAAGTTTTGTACTCATTATGAAAACTCTAATTGAAATTCGTTTATAAACAAAAAGTTCTCCTTAATAGGTTGGAAAAAAACAAAAAGAAAAAAATGAAAGCTAAATAACATACAATTGAAGACGACTGCAATCATAGGGTCTACAGTAGAAGACGGCTGGGTATGGGCGACGCTGGTTTACGACAATTGGGCGGTGTAGAAGAGATAGAAGGAAAGAGAGCTTCTGTGAATCTTGTGATGCAGCAACGATAATGCTTTCGTAGGGCTTTCTTTCTTTCTACAGAGTAAGTTTTAAGGAGGTTAGGTCAAATTTTATAAAATCAACCACAACTCATAGTTTTTAATTAAAAAACCTGCTGCATTTTTATTTAAAATTTGAAAATAAACCGCACTTTTAATTTAGATTTCGGTTTGAACTTTTTTAACGTCAATTAATTTAGGTTCGTCGTTGTATAACGGTCATTTAAAGTGGCTTTTCTATAGTTCTGTTCATTTAAATTATATATGTAGCCTTTACTCTAATGGCATGAAAAAATCGACCTATAGGTTACATTTACATAATTTTGTTAGCAAGAAAGGCATAAACAAGAGAAATTTAGCTTCTTTCATTTAGGTTACATCTTACATTTTAAAATCGGTCACACTATAATTCAACACTCACTTTACTCTAGCTAGGAAGATCATTCTAAGGTACCTCACTTAATCTTGGAATATTTTTCTAGAAATCATAAATGACTAATAAAGACAAAAACTTTATATACTAATAAAAAAAAGAAAAAAGATGGCATTCATATAGTGACATCAGCTACATTGTTTGTTTTTTTTTTTAGGGTGTTTGGGTTGGGGAGGGGGGGGGGCTCAAGAGGGGCTAGCCCCAGGAAATAAAGCTACATTGCTTTCTTATAAATTTATTGTTCATGTTGCATTTTTGTTGTTGATTAATTGTTCTACCATTGCACCACCATCCTTTTACTCCACCTTAACTTGAAAGTGAGTTCTTAGAATGAACTCCAAACTTATATGTAATTTGTTTTTTGAGGAAAAAGGTAATAAGCAAGAAGTTAGCTAGAGTAGTCTTCCCTCCAAGTTTATGCATAATTGGGTTGTGATGTTGAGTAGGCACGTATTTTTGTGAGAATTGTGAGAATATCGATCAAATAGCTAATTTGACAACAATCCCTTCATTTTTAGTCCTCTATAAATTAAAGTGACAATCAATGTCAACATGTTTAGACTTTTTATGGTGAAACAGTTAGATTGGCTAAAATTGCAAGGGCGGCTTGGTAGCACTGACACTTGATTCCCAGTTCTTTAAGCGGATTAAATTTGAGCCACATCACTTTACAGGCTATTGACCAATATTATACCTCAGATAAAATTTGACCTTGCTATAATAGGTTTTTTTTTCTTGGATTTCAAAGGCATAGGTTATTCTCATGGCTGAATACGGAAGCCTAAGGTAAATTTTTGGTAAAGATGAACCCTACGTAATCACTATCACAATAAGATTTCAATTTTGTTGTAGATTGTGAAGAAAACAACTGTCCTTAAGTATACTAGAAAGTTATCTGATGAGGACCCTGGTTATTGCTTGATAGTGTACGCATGGATTTAGGGTTGTGCATAAATTGCGAATTGATCCGATTTAACGTATGAATTATTTACTCCGTAAAAAATATATCTAGCCTAGTTATGGTGAGATACGTAGACACTTTCCTACTAGCTATGACATGGGAGAGATAAGGGAGAGGTGTTAGTTTCTTAATATTACATCCTTAATTTGAGACTATAGGTAGTCTCAAAGCTTAATTTGTAGTTTTCCAAATAATATTCATCCTACAGTATTGATATAATTTCTCTAAGACACTTCTATCAAAGGAGGTATATATATTTGGTGATTTTTGAAAACTACACCGGCATTTAGTGATTTTTTTTAAAAAAAAACTCTAGAGTATTTGATGAAAAAAACCATAATTTTTTCTTTAATATAAATTGTTATGCATCGATAATATAATGAATGAAGGCATCCAATTATGTTCTCATGCAATTTCTATTGTAACTTTTTTGTAAATTAGTTAATGATTATCTTTTGAAATAATTATATTAGATTTGACAAAGTGATCTTGATATATTATTATATTTTATAAGTACAATAATTATTTTTTAAAAATATGTTATAAATACCTTTTCTTAATTATTAGCGTGTTTTCAATGTGGTTGGCCACACTGTGTGGCCGGCTGACACACACCAAAACTTTGATAGGGTAACCCATGATCGATCGAGTAACCCTTGACCAAGTAATCCCTGACCAACCGAGCAACCCCTGACCATGTAACCCCGATCACACGGTGTGGCCAGCCACATATGAAACTTTGTGTTCCTTAATTACATATAAGTTATTTATTTAAACTGATTATTTATGTTAATTTAATGACCTTAATTATCAAAGGGTAATAACATCACCAGGATGTGCTATGTGTCATTTCTAGTGTTTGTTTGATTTAATTGTTGTATTTGACACATTTTGGGTTCGTTATCAAGATTAAACATGTGTTAGTAAATTTTAGGCCTAATTAATAAGCGGATCGAGGTTTAGAAAGTTTTGATCTCAAAAAGGGTTTTGGATCACTTCATAATACATACCGAAGTCCATAAGCACTCTAACTTTAATCCAACCTAAAAACAGGTTTTGATATATCATCATCACACTTCCATTTTGGGACAAGGGACTAAAAGTAGGTGTCTACGTACAGGTCTATCAATCATTAATTATTTTATTGCCTAAATTGTTATAAATTCAAATAATTGGTAGTTCATATTTTGGACATCAACTTTTCGCTCCTCCCCCCTTGGCTTATATAATGAGATAATGACTATAGGATTTTACACAATTTCTCTCATTCACTATGTTTCTCAGTAAAATATCCCTGACTCTCTAATGTGAACTTGAATCTATACTTCTCATAGCCTGGTAGAAATTTAATGTATACAACTTCTTATAAATTTTCATACAATTAAGAATGCGTTCTTCACATCTAATTGATGGACGTCGATCGACTCCCCATTCTTTAATTACTAAAATAACAAGTAGTGATTTCTTAGTGGTCAGCTTTGCTACATGAGCAAAAGTTTCATCATAGTTAATGTCATATTTTCTTTCATGTTTCCCAACACCAATACAAGTCTTGACTTGTTTCTCTACTTTCCCACACTGAGCTTGTACTTGGTTTTGTAGAGCCACTTTCATCCAATTTTCTTTTTTTCTTGGTGGCAAAGTAGAGATTTCCTAACTGTTGTTCAGTTTTGTTGCCTCCAACTCATTCATTGCTTCTCTTCAGATCATATTCAATTCCATGACTTACAACTTCTATAAAGTGTGTCGGATTTGGTGGTTTGGGTGCTTTGTGAATTTTAAAGGACATGAGTCACATAACAAGCCCACATATTAAGCTTCTTTATTAAACCCCTTAAGCCCTTATGTTTTCTCAATCTTAGCTATTACATAATGTCACATTTGTTATGCCAGAGTATTGAACATCTAAGTGTTGTAGCTACATGCATGCACAAGTAGTCATTGCATTTTTGAGTTCATGCATAGTCATATATAGTGTACTATGCACAAGAGAATACAGAGTAGGTTTAATGAAGTATTTTAAATGTCTTTTCATGTACCATTTTCCGACCACTAGCTCTCCTTTTAATTAACAAAATAGGTTTAATGAATAAATTTACAAAAACCAAGATGCAAACATACATTTTATCTTTCAAAATATTGTTATAACAAATGCAAGAAAGGTTAAAGAATCAACAAACAAGAACACATTTTACGTGATTCACTAATGATGAGTTAGATACGTCTATGGATAGGCGAGAAGAGAGTTATATTGATCATAAGTAAATTACAAATTACAATGTAGTTGTTAGGTTTAATCTAAAGGATTATACATAGTATCCCCATGACTTAAAACGAAATATGACCAAAACCAATAATTCATAGCTACCGTAAGTTTCAAGGGCAACAATTGATGGCCTTGTTGTGCCTTCGATCTCCCAAACAAAGGCACATCACCGTACCCTTGGGCTCGAACTCACTGATTAGGCAACGAGACCCCGTGATTATTGTTCAAAAGGGGGTTAACTGATACAAGGCTTTAATAAAAAAAATTTCGAAATTTTTTTTTGGGTGAGACAGACTCTCCGTGAGTCCGCCGCCCAAATACGATCATCGTGACTCACCGGAAATCGGAGCATAAAAAGAACAAAGCATACAGAAGCACGAAGAAGACGATCCAAATGATGATGATGAAGGTGCCGCGAAGAAGATGTTTCAGATGATGATAATGAAGGTGCCGCCATTGATATAGGAAGATCGAAACATATAGAAGTAGGATCGAAGAAGACGATCTAGATAATGATGACAAAGGTGCCGCAAAGAAGACGATCCAAATGATGATGATGAAGGTGTCGCCATTGACATAAGCATGGTGAGTGATTCTTTGGCCATCGAAAATTCCGCCATTGATGCAGCACCTTCATCTTGAAGAGAGAGAAAGAGGAGATGTGTTTATTGAGGAGAAGGTAGAGGAGAGAGAAAATCAGAGGAGAGTGAGGGGCAATAAACCCTAAAAATATTAATGTTAGATATTGGATTATTATTGTTTGGTATTAGATTATTATTGCCGGATATTAGATTATTATTTTTTTTTTTGGTTCATATGAGCCACTAGGGCGGGGATGAGAATCATTAGATTATTATTATTTGGTATTAAATTATTTATTATCAAATATTAAAATATTATTGTCAGACATATTAGACTCAAGGTAAGTCGGCAGGCAAAACTTTTTTTTTTACCAAAGAAAAACAAAAGAATTGCAAAATTTGGCCATCTGAGAGACGAAGACTGATTTGTACGCATCAAACCTCGAATGCTCACTCTGTTCTTGACGACATGAGCTAATTTCTCTTCATAGGAGAGAGAAAAATAAGCAATCAATGGTGTTGGTTTTGGCAATTGGGGATTTACACATCCCACATAGAGCACCTGATCTCCCTGCCAAATTCAAGTCTATGCTTGTTCCTGGAAAGATTCAACACGTAATCTGTACTGGTAATCTTTGCATCAAAGTATGTTTCTTTCTTTCTCTCTCCTTTGACCTCTCTTTGACTTTTTCTGGGTTTTACTTGATTGCTCTTGATTTTTGTGTTGATTGTGTTTTTGGGAACTTTTTGTGAAATGGGGTTTTGAGATTGTTTTAGATTGTTTGATTTTCTGGGCTGATGATCATGGAGTAATGCATTGATATTGTTGGTTTTGGTGGTTTATGTAACCTGGGTTACGATTACATTGTCTGGAAATTTAGGATTAATTTTTTTTCTAAAAAATCATGTAAATATGTTGTTATGCGGATTTTGCTGTAGTTGGGGTCTAAAGTTATTGAGATAAAAATGACGACCATAATTATATGTTGATCAAAGAATACATAAAGGATATGATACCAATACGGCGAAGAACAAACATATACTATACTTTATGCAATGTGAATGTAATTTTGCAGTCTGCTTGAAATTTTAAAGAGTTTCAGGAAGTTGCATTTGCATCCAACTTTTTAGAGAAAGGGGTGATTATTGTGGGCAAGTGGTTTGTTTCCAAAATTTGTTGTAGTAGATTAGAACCATTGGCCACGAAAGCAAAGAAAGTGTTTCCTATGTACACAATTGAATTCTTAAAGGAGCTAGGCAAGTACGTCATAGGCCAAATGAAAACCATTGGCTTCAAAAGTTTGACATGAATAATGATTTTGAGTAATATCCTCATGCTATTGCCATTTTCCAGTGGCTAGCACGAGCTATCACATGCATGCATAAGACTGATCAATGGTGCGTATTTCCTATGAAAGCCAGTACTTTCTTTGTGTCTAGTAACCAGTAAGGACTAAGGTGACTGTACTTGGTTAGCAGTTCTGGGGTTGGGGAGGAGAGGAGAGGGGTCTTTCCACTTTAGTTCCGTATAAATTTGTGCAAGAACAAAAACTTACGACTATTTTGCTCCTGTAACTCTTAATTCCCCTGCCACACCAGTGTGCAAAGGAACAGAAGGTAGTGTTAAAGATTTCCACTTGTAAGACTGTAGTTTCGTGTGATTTTATTTTTCTTTTTTTTTTTTTTTTTTTTTTTTTTTTTTTTTGTGTGTGTGTGTGTGAAATACTAGCAGAAATGATAAATTGAATTACTTATATTCGTCAAAAAAAAAAAAAAAAGAAATATTGAATTACTTTATGATCTCAGAGATCTGCTTAAAATTACAAGGTTTTTAGGAAGTTGCTTCTAAGTTTCTAGAGAAAAGGTGATTTTTGTGGGCAGGTGGTTTGTTCCCAAAATTTATTGTATTGAGTTACTACCATTAGTTACAAAAGGGAATAAAGTATCTTTTATAAACCTAATAGAATTGTTTGTTAACAAAGAATGTATAAGTAGAGAAAGGGGCTCTATAAAGAGCTCATAGAAGAAGAGATAGGAATTGGCTAAGAAGTTATAGGCAAGTGCATGATTGGCCAAATGAAAAGTGTTCTGTACAAGATTTCCCAGGCGCTGACACTAGAAATGTGTTGGATTAACTTTCCGATCATTTGGCAGCCTAGTCCAGGTGCTATTTTTTTGGGGTCAAATTTTGTAAAAAGGAGCTAAAGATAATGTTTGTGTGTGGTGGCTGGAGTGAGATTGAAAATTTGTAACACTAGTTTCATGTGATAAAATTTTGTGAAGCACTAGCAAAAACGACAGCTTGAAGTAATTTGTGATCTCAAAGATAAGAAACTGGAGATCGTGCAAAATTCCAGTGATACTGATCGGAAAATGTGGGACTCTTGAGTGGAAAAAAGTACTCCCTTTGTTTTTTTAATATTTTTATCACTTCCCAAATATGAGTCTTTTTAAATATTTGCATCACTTCCCGTATTTGAACTTCTCTATTATTTTATAACTTCACACTCAATGGATGTTCTCCACTCTATTTCTTCCAATTTTTTTCATTCTTCCACTATCCAAACTTTACATTATATAATTACACTTATTATAATAATACCATAAAATAAGTCTCTTAAAACTCCACGTACAGAGAAGTGATGCAAATTTTTTTTTTTTAATTTGAAAAAAAAAAAAAAAAAAAAACGAGGGAGTAGTCTCCCTTGATGATGGAGTATGTAGTTTGAAGGTTAGGAGTATGTTATAAAAGGTTTAAATGGAGTAAGGGATTGTAATTTTGGATTGGTAGGTTGGTTTCAGAGGAGCAGATTATTGTTGCTGAGATCACCTCTTTTGTATGAATGATTCTACGAGACACAGGATAACCATTTGATGTGCTCTTTTTTTTATTTTAAACCTATTGTTGACTCAGGACATTGGTTTACGAGCTTTTATAGGAGTATTTCATTGTTGTTTTTCTTGGAGACCTTATGCAGTGTGATTTTGATCATAAACCTATTTGTGACTAAGGACATTGTTTAGTTCACAGGACTTTAGTAGTGTTTTGTGAATGTATTTGTAATACAAAGATAAACAAGTCTCTCATCGAGAGGGTTCAAGAGCAGTTTAATTTTAGTTTGGGTGTTGGGATATTAAGAATGGGCTCCTTGAGGCATTTCAAGAATGTTATGAGATGTGATACTGGATAAGGCTATCATCTGGACTCTTTTTCCCACTTTACTACTGGATGTCATAGGGGTCTAAGATCTTTCTCCTATCAGACTCATTTCAAGTGTTTACCAGATTTTTATAATTAGAATAGACTTTTGTAATTCTTCTATATATTGCTAGAACAAAGTGCTTCTGTGAAGGTTCATCACACCATCAATACAACTTGTAGAATAGGTAAGGTGGGGGGGGGGGGGGGGGGGGGAAGGAGTCGTAACTAAGATGGATTTTTAAGAAGGCTTTTGGTTGAGTGAGTAGGACTCCTTAAGAATTTGTGGACTATTGAAGTTTCTCAAATGGAAGTTTGCAGCGTAAGAGTTATAGAACTAGATGGGATTGGCTCTTTCTGGGGATGGCTTTAAAATCCTAAATTTTGTCCATTTACATTCGATACTGGGAAATAAGTTTAGAGGGGTTTGCCCCTTTCAAGTTAATGTGGTCTTGTGTATGTGCTTACTGCTTAGTGGATTATAAAAAAGAAAGGGGTACATGAAATGAGGATTCACGACAGGGAGTTGATCAGATTGTCGTCTCTTTTGTAATTTGTGAATGTTAGTGTTTTATTTTGAAATATGTGCCCATTTGTCATACTTATGAGTTATGACTGCTTTTTCAGTGATTTTTGGTGTCTCATGATTGACTGAGGATGCGTGTTGTAGGACTTTTAGTATGTTTTAGGGAAAACTCTATTTTTGAACATTAACCAAGATGTGAATATTTTTCTCTTAAGACATACATTTCGTGTGTGTGTGTGTGTTTTTTTTTTTTTTTTGGGGGTGGGGTGGGGTGGGGGGAACCAAAAATTGATGAGTGAATTGAAGCGAGACCTATTCGTTATTTACTTTCGTTAGTTGATTAGAAATTCGCTTCAAATGATTTACTTGCTTATTGAGTAGTTGACCACTAGAGAAGAACCAAACAGAAACTTTGAAGCAGAAATTCCTTGTATTAATTCTCAGTATCTCCTTAAATTTATCTCTGGTCTATATGCCTGATTCTGACTCTCCATGGAAGCAAGAGTAATCCAGTGGGAAACCAACGAGAGCTAAAGAAGCAAGTAATTATCTCATGAGGTAGCCTAATCCATGTGGTTAGGTTAAGAGCTTAGATTATCTCATAATTCATTTCATGAAAGCAGGAAGCCTTCTTGGCACAGGGTTAGGTTCTTCTATGTTCTCCATAGTTGTGGTACATTTTAATTTGGCAAACATTATATATATGGAAGACTCCTTTTCTGATAAGTTCATTTTGCTGCATCTGTCCTCGGTTTGGTTAAGGAATGTTTCAAATCAACCACTCTAAACAATTTTTCTTAAGGTACAGTAAAATATTACTTTACTATGCATTTCAAATAGTATAATGCTCTTGCTTGAAATATAGTTGCAAAAGATAATTTGGACTACTTGCATTTGCATCTACTTCTATTATGTGCATCAATTACACTTCGTTATAGTTTGAAAAGTCAACCAGGACAAATTTTGTAAAAGAACTAGCATTAGTGTTGGATGATTAATCTCTCTCTTAGTCTCTTAACTCTATGAGGCATGAGCAGTCTAATACTATTGTTTGCTGACTGTAAGACTTCAATACTTGAACAACTTTTTGATAAAAGAAAGTATGACTGCCTAAGAGGTTACAAGTTTACAACTTATAATTAATTCGTTGTTTTCAGAATCTTATGTCTTTGTTCTATCTGAACAACCTCATTATTCCATACAGTTCTACCCTGCAAATAGCAGTATACATTCTGGGTTGTTGATTGTGTTGCTTTATGATGGTAGGTTATCAATTTGTACTATACTTCATGCTCATTTCATGGGAGGACTGCCATACCCTCACATATTGGATTTCCTGAAGATTTAGTTCCAGAATCTAGCCGTGAGACGTGGCATAGTATGGTTCTACCAGCTGTTTTAAAAACCACATTAAGCTTAAATGTGCCCCTAGCTTTTAATACATAGAGTAAGACTCATTTTTCATGGAAATTTCAATTGTTGGCTGGAACCACACAGTAAACAGTTGGGGGAGACTACTAACCTGCTCGGTGTGGTTGATTCTTATCTCCTCTCTAATCTCTATATCCCACAAATAGGTTAGAGAACATAACCCATTTAAATTTATCTGCTTGACTCTTATATCTTCTCTGTATCTACTGATAGGTTAATGAACAAACGCAATTATCATAATAATTGGTGAGGATAGATTGGAGAACAAATTTTATTTAAGTTTTTGCTTGATTTTGGTTCTGCCATCTGTTGTATTGACTTAAACTTCTCTCCTATAGTTCCTGCATAATGGATGATTTCCTTGCTTAAATTGTTGGAGATGCATAAGCCATGTTCAGTTGCTGAGTAATTTTGATTTTTTTTTTTTTTTGATTTTTTTATTTTTGCATATGACAGTTGTTTGAGATGTTTCGAATCCTGAAAACCTTGTTGGCAGATGCCTGAATAAATGTGAATATTTTACTCATTTTAAACTGTTATCTGCAGGAAGTACATGACTACTTAAAAACAATTTGTCCAGATCTCCATATTACTCGAGGAGAATATGATGAAGATGCACGTTATCCAGAGACAAAAACCCTAACAATTGGTCAATTCAAGCTTGGACTTTGTCATGGTCACCAGGTTGGGCATTTGTTTTAATTTGTTGGCCCTAGGATTATTTCTGTGGTTTGCAAAATATTTCATGTTGGGATGTATAACAAACGGCAAATGGGATTGCTAGTTGCATCATCTGTAACAAGAGAATCAATTCAACTGATCACGATGTGCATTGAGTATATCATTGTTGTCCTCCCCTGAAGACCCTAACTGCACCAGGAAGAATGTAATTACATGTACATGTATAATATAAATCTTTCCCATCGCATCCACTACCAACAAAAAAAATTAACCCTAGCCTGAATGCTAAATTAAATGTTCTATGTAGTTCAGGCCAGATATAGTGTTAGGCCAGGAGTTTTCTACAAGGACTGTTTGAATTTAGTAACTAGGAGATACAATTTTTGCTAGTTGCTATTTGGGTGATGGAAAAAGCTTCCTGTTCAATGATTGCAAATGTTCATTCTTATTTCCCCCATATCACTGCTCAGTTGTCTACTGTGTTGATCCGCCTTGACTATAGAAGATCATGAATTTGAAACTGAAGAGGTTTCTATGTGTGTTCAACTCTATGTAAACAGACCTTCACTAACCTTTTACTGCTTTGTCAATCCTGAGCAGTTTGGTTTGAGGATATGGGAGCTTTTTGTAAGAGAGCTTTTGGTTTGTAACCCAACCCTCCCACTCTGATTTTCTAACTAGCAATGTCTGCTATTTTCCTTCCGTGAAACTCTTTTATTTAACATAATGTATGTGATATTGAAAAGCATGAAAAGGATATGGAAAACAGGAAATTAGCTTTGTTATAACTAAACGATCAAGACTCGTAAGTTCAAACCCTGGCCCCTTTAAATACATTTGAAGCTCTGCCATTGTGACCAGAGACATGTTACTCCAGTGTCCAATATGATTGACCCATTTTTGTTAGAAAATAGTTGCCCATATTCATGTGGAAGCAATTTTACTTCTTCCCTTCAAACTTCTTAAGCTAAATGCATGCATAAAGTTTACATTTGTGATTCTCCTTGTCATCCGACAATTGATTATTTCTTTCAGGTCATTCCATGGGGAGACTTGGACTCCTTAGCTATGCTTCAGAGGCAGTTGGATGTGGACATCCTCGTGACTGGGCACACACATCAATTTACTGCATACAAGCACGAAGGTGGTGTTGTCATAAATCCAGGATCTGCCACGGGTGCGTACAGCAGCATCACCTATGATGTAAATCCAAGCTTTGTTCTGATGGACATTGACGGGCTGCGTGTGGTAGTTTACGTTTATGAGCTGATTGATGGGGAAGTTAAGGTGGATAAGATTGATTTCAAGAAGACAACTGCTCCTCAATCTCCTCACTGACTCAAAAGATCTTTGTAGATGTGCCTGCCTTCTTCCCTGGAACCTGAAACTGACTTGTGCTTTTTTCTTAAATTTTCCTTGTCTGAAAAAAGTTGTCTTGAAATGGTTATGAAAAGCTTTTAATAGGTCAAAATAGGTTTTTCATTTGTGAGTATAACCCGATTTTGTACTTTATTGTTTGGTTTGAGTTTTTTATCTTGAATTTAATTGTCCGAATTATCTGCAGCAACTTTACTGTAGTTCTACGAAGTTGATAGTAAAATTTACCATGCTTATAGTAGGGCTGTATGCTGCAGCAACTTTACTGTAGTTCTATGAAGTTGATAGTAAAATTTACCATGCTTATAGTAGGGCTGTATGCTAATCGCCTATACTGCTATAATTTAACCATCCCAGATTTCCCAAGAATCTGAGAAGATCAGATATTAAAATCTCAAATAAAATAGGCGACATGATATAAATTAAAATTTCTAACAGCTGGTAAACCTAAAATAGTTGTAGTTGTGTAAAAGCTATTATTGAACCCCAAATAATGGTAATTATGATTTGATACATTTAAAAATAATTAATACATGACTGTCAAGTGATAGAGACCTGTAAGAAAAAGATGTTCAGATAGCTCAATTACAATGGAAGATATGCTAATGGACAATGATCTATTCAATGAAAACGTACATATTCGTAAGAGATTATGATTGATAGTTAGATACATATGTTCTGTCTCCTATTCTACATTATAACACTTGTCGGACCATGTCTTTCGATAAACTTCTGGGAGCAAAATTTGTTACACAATCATACCAAACCCTCAAATGTACAACAATATATTTCGTTTTGTTCACCCATGCCAAAAAAATGTACAATGATATCTTCTGAAATGCTCCTGAAAACATACAAAACATAAGTATACCCGGTTTTGTAATCCAATTCCCGTTCCCCATTATCTGTGTTTCCAGAATATACGTGACTACTCACTATTAATTACCCCTTTGTTTATCACTAATTGAATTGGACACTTAAGCCATTTCTTCCTTATGATGAAGAAAAATCCAAATCTGAACAGACATAAATTTCTGATAACATGAACCATCTTCCCTAGATATCAATTATATCTCAGAGGAATCATTCTGCATTGCTATCATGAATCACCAAACTCGCATCAACCTTCGAGTCTTCACTCTTCTCCTTGTCTTCAACTACATTAGTATCCTCTTTTTGTTCACTTTCAGGGATAATCCCATTTTCTGATATGTTTTGTATATCTGTACTTTGTGTTCGCCTAGGAGTCTCTCTTGATGATGATGATACGGATAACAAACGGCTTAACCCATCAAATGAAGCCTTGGCATCCATAATGAGGGCAGCACCACCAGGGTAACAACGACCAAAGCAAGTTGCACAATGAGGAAAAACAACCTGGTCAAGAATATAATGCAAGTTATTAGTTAAAATATAATGTCAAATCGGAAACAGCAGAGAACTATATGAAGTTTACCTCCATGAATGCGCGACAAAGTGAGAAGAAAAGTGTGGATTCATTATTTCTAAGCATACGTGTTTCATTATATCTCAACAATGAATTATGAACAGCTTTGAGTCCCTTTACTAATTCCTGGGCAAGAATATGTTTCAAGCTTACTGGAGCACACGGACGTAGCTCATTCATTGCTGCTGACACACCTACCAGCATCAAGAGATCATAGAAAGAAAATACCAGTCAGATTACTGATCTAAGGCAGGATTAATCTAATTTTGTGGTCTGACATTGGATAGAACATACTTTACATTCATCTCGTGCTCACATAAGATTAATAACAAGCTGAAACAATAATCCCGATTTTTAAAAAAATAATGCAATATATTTCAAGCCTATATATATGCTTGAAAAACATACCATTTATAAACACAGCAAGAGGTGGATGCTCCATCAAATATGAAGGTGGGGTCACATCCTCTTGACTTTCTTCACTGGCGGTACTGCCTGAATACCCAACTGCTGGCAATGGTACCCAACGATGTGAATCCAGGACAAGCTGGCAAAGTAATTGAAGAGTTAGATGCAATTATACAAGAAACGATCTATATTTTAGAAATACTAAAAGAGAGAGTCAAGACTCCACGGTAATCAGTTTGTTGAAGTGAAAGCTAAGTGAAACATCCAAATTAATAGCCTCATGAACAAAAACTAGTTTTTTATATACTTTTTTCCTTCACTATACTCTACTTTCTCTCCATCACTGTAAGCAATTAATCAAAGTCCCACCTAAATTATTCAAAGATATTAGCAGTCATAAATTTCAGGATTTAACTACATGTGTTACCTGAAAATTCTCAACAGCAGTAGCAACATTCTTCGAAAATAAGTTGAGAACAGCCCTGGAAAGAGAGCAAATGCATTTAGTCAGCAAGATTCACAGACTTGGGACTTTACAGCATCAATTCAATCTAAAAAAATCCTTACTCTTCAAATAGTGATGGAAGAAGACCTCGATAATCCAGTCCGACCCAACCAAGTCCCATCGCCCAGTGCTGTTACAAAGCAGAAAGTCTAGCATTAACTTCAGGATCAGAGGATAAAAATTCTTTTTAAGAATGCACTCAGAAATAATGCGTTTCATTGAAAAGAAATCAGATGCAGCTAGTTGTGCAATTTCAAATTTGAAGAGGGATAAGATGCAGGTAGTTGGTCTTTGAAGCCATTATCGGTGCCTTCCATGTCCTGGTGCTTCTGCAGCTATTATATGCATTACTAGATCATCAATATTTGTTGTAGTGAAAGAAGATAGTAGGACTTTATTTCATGAATGAGAGAGACTGTGGGTCCTAACTTTTTATGGCAAGAAGAGAAGGTAAAATATTATTAGTAAGACCTTTCCCAAATGAAAAGTGTATAAACTTCTCTGGGCAAATGAAAAGGAAAAGTGTAAGAGCTATTCTGGGACAGGAGTAAATTTTTTGTGACTAATATTAAGGAAGATGAAATTGAAGAACCAAGTTATATTATGCAAAGTAAAACCAGTTTGAGGAATATCCTAAATGGTTTCGCAAAGTAATGTCCTTATCTTCTTTGTCTCTCATTTCCAAGCAATTGAACCAGGCAATATATAGGACCCTTTAGGGCTCCAAACCTTCTGTCTTGCCACAGCCCCACCCCACCCCACCCCCCCCCCCTCCCCCCTCCCCACCTTGGTTTTACAAGAAGAGGCAAGGTTTGGTTTAAGAAGTAACTGTACAAGTGTTAAGTACATTGATCATTTTGGTGAGTTGTAATAAATGGTGAAAATGATAATGCTAGTGAGCTGTAATTCTGTAAAGAAAGTCCCATATGAATGAGACAATGATCATATATCCATTGGCAACAGTGATAATGCTAGTACCCCTCAACCACCCCCACCCACCCCCCCCTCCCCCCCCCCCCCCCAAAAAAAAAAAAAAAAAAAAAAAAAAAAAAAAAAAAAAAATCTCTATTTGTAATACCACCTCTAAAGTGGTAATCATAACTTATGAAGTAAGACATGTTTGAGGGAGAACTTGGACTATTATGGACTTTGACATGAGATTTTCCTAACTTTGCCCATTCTAAAAATATTGCACCATTTACCTTAGCGGGGCGTTTGGAATGTGGGAATAGGAGTTTGGGGATTAAAATGTGGAATGGGGTTGGGATTGGGAATATATAAAAATATGGCAATACTTTGTTTGGGTGGTGAATGGTAAAAAGTAGGGAATAAATAACGAAATTACAAAATTACCCTTGCTAATCTTTCTCCTCCCTTCTTTTCATAATTTCATTAATGGTAAAAATGTCATTTTCTCCCTATTCCCATTTCCATCCATTTATTACCTACCCTCCCTAGGTAATAAAATGGTGGGAATTCACCCCATTTATTCCCAATCTCATTCACTTATTTATTCCCAATCCCATCTAACAAACAAGAGAATTTTTTTGAATTGGGATTAAAATTCCCATTCCCACCCTCAATTCCCATGTACCAAACACCCCCTTAGGGAGTTTCACATATATTGGATCATACCCATTTTAGGAAATCAGATATCTCCTTTTACACTACAAATACCAAAAATACTCTTACACGTATATACTTGTTGGTTTAGTCTATACTTGCAATCACATGGTTACCATGGTAATGTTGTCATTCTCTCTCTCTCTCCTGTTTTTCAACTACCCAAATTCCCATGCACTCATTTTATGGTGCAGTATTATTAGAACAGAGTTAGTATATCTACCATTACTATCTACCAAACAGGGCATCAAGGTCTTTTATATAATACCCATGGTCTTTCGATACTAGGGGGAAATACATACATCTAAACATGGCCAACTACCCTTTCACAAACATGACAATATATAAATGGTTACTTGTGCTGCCTACAGATTTCTAGGAAATAGAATTCTTCGGTTAGCAAGTGAATATAGGCATATATAGGTCTTCAATCACTTAATTGCACACAAACTAGACCAAACGCAAACAATGACTTACCATACACTGATCGAGAATGTTTGATAAAGATCCTCCTTCAGTTATTTTGGGAAGCATGACCTTAAGCGTTTTAAGGTGAGATGTAATTTGATGCATAGCCCAGCTGAACAAAAGCCCACCATCATAATTTTCTTCACTTCCAGACGTGTCATCAGCAAATATCGCTCGGTATTGGTTGACAACATCAAATAAATGCATTCTGTGACAGTTAACCATTCCTCTCAAGTATTCATACGGATTTCTTTGGTCTAAGTCATCAAGGGTACCAGTGATCCATGCCTCTCTACATCTCAAGAACTGTGTCAAACATACTACAAAGTCATAAATCACCAACAAGCAACAAGAAATCAAGGACATCTGAATAGGGAGCAAATTGTGATAGACTCAATGAGGCTGCCACCTAAGTGTAATGGGAAGCAGAGGACAGCAAGGCACTATTGGACAAAACTCATCAATGAAACATTAAGGGGAGGAGCTGGGTTTGATACTCTGTAGAATAGTGACAAAGTTAATTAATATTAGGTTATCTTGTTTTCTAGTGTAGCTTGCTTAATTATATAAGTAGTAGTATAGCAGTAGAGGGCATGAGATTTGAAATGTGGAAGTAAGCTGTTAAAACAAGCCAAACCTGCAAGCGCATTTCGTATTCACTGAAGACACCAATCCGACGTAAATATCCAATGATACGAAGACATTCTGGCAACTGCAATATAAAACATGTCAAATTGATATTGCCCTGGCTATTTGGAAGTTTCAGAATTACTGGAGAGTGGAAAGAAAGAGTTGTGAATCATATTTAAAATATGTATCTTTTGAACCAAAATAGAGGCACATTATTCGTACCTGAATAT